TACTATGGTAGAGTACCATGGTGGAGTTGCAACTGGTGATCATGCATGTGAACAATCAACCATAGTGAACGATCAACTATAGTGAACTATCAACTAACTGGTCAACCATGATACCCCGTAATAAATTATATAATAGAAATAGAAATAATACTAGCTAGTACTTTGTATATTTTCCCCTTACCTCTAAAACTACAGCTATCCTATCTGGCATTGATTCCACAACTTTTCAAAACACTCCTTGGAAATTGTCTCACAAACCAGTGATAATACATGTGTAAGCCTCCTCTTCACAGCTTCTTTTCCTCCTGATGTATCTCTAATTCTTGAATATTGCTGGTATAATCACTTTTTAAGCTCAACTCATGCATGCTCAATAGAATTCAAATTAGGAGAATATGGAAGGTGCTCCTCAACCTGAATACAATTTCTCTCCTGCCAATCCATAACACTATATACCTTATGAATAGGAGCATTATTTTGCTGAAAAAGAATATCTTCAAGTTGTATACTCAAGAAAAACATTTGATGAATAACAGGAAAATGATATCTTCTGAAAAGTCTAACATACCTAATCTTATTGATATTTTGAGTAATAAGAACAAAATAACCTTTACTTTTACCCCAAAAGTAGCCCCAAACCATGAGTGAAATTCCCGTATTCTTCTCTTTTAAATGAATACACTCAGCTAGCCACTTCTCTTTAGGCTCTCTGAAAACCCAATGTTGACTTAAATTCTTGAACTTCTCTACACTGCATTCATCACTTCAAATAACTCTTTTAAAATCCTCAGCAGTCCAATTCTTATGAGCAGTTGCCCATTTCCATCTCTTAGCAACATGTTCAGGTTTGAGTTGTAGTCTTGATTTGGCTAGCTATTTTTTGATATTGACTTCTCTGAGTACTCTATCAACTATTGCAAGTTAGTTAACTGAAATCATATCCTATCACTCAGCCTGGGAGTAGTTATGGTGGTACAGGTACTCAGTATAGTACAAAACTCTTGGTTTTTCTTGTTATCTGTAGAAAGTAATATATGGAGTGTGAATTTATCCCGGCAGTCCTCTCTTATCTTTTTGAATTTGACTTGTCTGCAACGATTATGTGACACTGTTACTGGGTAAGGAGAAAAGGGTGACCAGGGCGAGGAATATTATCCAGAGATTGCGGTTCACATGCTCAACCAAAAAAGCTTTTAATTATTGTCCAAGACTGGCTAATAATTTGAGCCACTAGGGTGATGTTGCGAAGACAATAGAAACAGGCAATAAACATGCCTGTTTCAATATTGGCCATTTCTCTTCTGGACGTCTTCAGAGGAGGCTTATTTTTTACAGTAGGTTTGGCATATCTGGATTGGTAAACGATGGATGAATTATAGAATGTAGGGTTTTGGTAGAGGCATTGAGTTGAATGGGTACCATGATCACTAGTCACAATCTGGCTTTTTTTATTTTGTTGGTAAGGCTGTTAACTAAGCTTTCATGAACACTTATGATGAGTGGCTGTATTTTTGATAGTTTTGAGAAGGATGTTAAGGTAGTCAGAAATCTGCTGATATCTCACCTGAAATTCATATAACCCAAGAATTCTTCCCCCGGTAAACTCAGAGAGGTAATAGGTTGGAATAGGATTTTTTTAGATAACCGCAAAGAATAGGAGATATAGTATTTAAAGGAAACAGAATCGGGTAATGTGATTGGGTTTTGGATAAGTTGATGCAATTTCTTTTAGTGTAGTTGAAAATGGGCAGGGGTGATAGGCAATGGTTGCTATGTACCTTAGGCAGTTGGTTATTTTAATTAACAAACAATAATAATAACTCATTCCTCCTCCTGGTTCCGTGTTGTAAGAACATAAAATGTACACCATGCTGCTGAGCGACATTTAACTACAAATCTTGAATAGTCAGATTTTTTACTCTTTATTATAAGGACCTATTCAGCGTGCCATTTTTATCACATAAAAGTGACTTTTCTAGTATAAACTTTAGCAATTAAAACTTTTTATATAAGAGTGTATTCGGCGCATACAACAATATTATGATCCATTTTTATTTCAATATATATTTTTATAGCATAAATATGAGAATATAGTATATAGGTTAAAGGCTAGAAATAAGAGTCCTTTAGAATATTATTATAAAATAGATATATTAGAAATTATTTATATATAACAAATAATTAATTCAACTTTAACATGAAATTCCTTACTGTCTTGAGCCCACAGACCATCGTCCATATTTGCTGAAGGGTATTTATGCTGTTTGTACTACTTTATATTCCTTGTTCATGAAGTATAATGTTCTACTAAGATAGTAACATGAGTTTTTTTTATTTTGAAATACTGTTTTTAATCCTACTTTTACAACAATAATAGGGTTTGTATTGTTTTGATATGTATATATATTTTATATTATTTGTCTAAATAAACACTTATATTTCTGAAATATGCCATAAATTTATTTTAGAATATATGCTATTTGCAAATTTTATTGAGATATATTTTTATTGTGATGTACTGAACAGGGCCTAAATTATACTTTATTGTTTACAAATTGAATAATACTTGCGTTTAGATAGACCTTATCCTCTAATTATATTTAGATAAAAATTTCAAGTCATGTTAGCATGATATCATTATTATTAAGTAAAAAAGTATCCAATAAGTCTCAAATAAATCTTACTTAGAATGAGTAAATTTCTATAAAGTATTTGTGTACCTGCCAAACACAGTGCAGTATATTTTTACATTTGCTTCCAAAAATACTGATTAAAAGTGACAATACTGAGTATTTCTAATATGCCAAACTGGGCCTTAATTGATCAGGAGATGAGGATGTAATTTGTGATTTTCATTACTTTTAATTTGGACCATTTTGGTGTGTTTTGACGGTATAATACATGGACTAGCCAATGATAATTTTTGTCTGAGAACTATATTTAATACTTATAATATTATTATTACTAATAAATAACACAATCTATCCTGACTTGAAAAAGAACCTTTATCATACTGTAAATGGCATAAGCATTTTACCTAGAAGTTAGTAAATAATTAGTTTTACAAGCTAAATTCTCAAGATACTCAATATTGAGAAAACAAATCCAATGCAGTACTAAATAGATTCTCTTACCCTGGTACTATACCTACTGGTAGTTCGAAAACTACTACTAGATAATAAGGCTATGTATTCTAATATTACTAGCTTCTAGCTTAAACAGGTATGATATTATCTTTGCTGTTACTCATGGGTATGTGGCTTGATAGGTGGTCATATGCCACCAGTTCGCCATACTTAAAAGAGGCGGTTTGCATTTCATGAACTATGAACTGGGGGAGGAGAGAGGTACTAGTACACTGTAGTACTACAATTAGTATCATATCCACTCTGAAGGTGGTACTCAGAATGTTTTAGCAGGTTTGGAGAGTGGTGGTACATGCACTGTTAACTTGCACTAAAGAAGTAATATACAAGTATTATGCATTGACAAAATTAACTGCGATTTAACAATTGGTGGCAACCCACTCCTCTTCATCATCCCTCACTCTCAACAGTACCTAAAAAAATTGCTCTAAGTCAACCAAAAAAAACCATTCTGCTCAAATTTTTTTTTTCAATAAACTATACCTCCTATTCTTCACAGTCATGCCAAAAAACCTATTCCCTCTACACTTCTCACTGAGTTTATCAGGGAGAGGATTCTCAGGTTACATGAGCCTCAGATGAGAGATCTGCAAATTTCCCACTACTTTAATATCTCCTACACTACTGTCAGAGACACAATTGTAAAGGAACATCAAGAGGGTAAGGAGAATAAGGGTAGCAGAAGACATCCTAAAACTATCAAGTTACAAGATAATGCTATGGTGGAGGAAGCTCTTAAAAATCGCCATATAACCTATTCTGACATTGCTGAGCAAGTTGCTCCCAATGTTTTTAGTAGAACAGTAAGGAGAAAACTTGAAAAAAATCATCTTAGAAAGTAGATGACACAAGAGAGAGTTCATTTGGATGAGGATCTAGCTCAAGAAAGGTTAGAATAGGCATTAGCTCATAGGCATTGGACAAAGGAGATGTGGAGAAGGAAGGCAATATGGAAGGATGAGATAGCTGTGGAAAAAGGAGGAGGAAAGAGGAGAAAATGGGTTTTCAGATACCTATATGAGAAATAGAATAAGGATTGTGTTGAACCTAAGGATAGGAGAGGGGAGAGAGGGATTAGCCAGATGATGACTGGTTGTTTTTATAGTCAAACTCATGATCTTTTTTTTGCCTGTTTTTCCTGATTCTTCTTCTGCTAGGGGTAGAGTTACTGGAAAGTCAATTATTGATATTTCTGATCATTATGACTTTCTAGGGATATGGGAGAATATCAGTGAAAATGATGGAGAAGAAGAGGTATTTTTTATCATTGACAATCCTAAGACTCACTTGCCTTTTAGGAGATGGCTCAGATGGTAGGGAATTACACTGATAGAAATTCCTACCTATTCACCAGATCTCAATCCAATTGAAAATATTTGGTCTCTTGTGAAAGGTAAGCTTCACAAACACTACCCTGAGCTATATCTTATGAAAGGTGATGTCAATGTGGTCAAGAAGGTAATAGTAGAGGCCATCACTCATTGTTGGGAACTTCTTGACCCAAAGGTTTTTGATACTTTAACTGGATCAATGGTGGATAGAATAGAGGCAATTATTAAGGCTGATGGATGGTATACCAAATATTAATTTCTACTATGTATTTACATCTTTTAATTTTTTTTTTTTGGTTTTCATGATAGTGGATTGGTGGGTGAGTGTGGTTGTCATCGCCGAAGATTTTCCTCTGTGGAATGGCGGTTAATTTTGTCCACGCACAATATCATACATACGGGTATCATAGCAGGAAAAGGCCACGACTCAACGGGTAAAGTAAAGTAAAGTGACATCCCTTATCTTCTCATCGCTCTCCACTCAACTCATCTCATTTCTCTCACCATACCCCGTCTCCCACAACACAACCCTTAAATTTCACATAGCTTCCTCGCGCTCAGCGTTAATCTGGTTGTTATGCAGTTAATTCCTCGTGAGGTTTGTCATCTCAATTTGATTTTTGTCTTATTTCCTATATTTTTTATTATCGTTTTACCCCGCTGAGGAAGTGGAGGCTAACTTACTTTAGCTTGACAAGCTCGTGATATCGCAAGCTGGGTCCCTAGCGCAGAAACGCCTTGCAAGGGGCGTTAAGTTGAATAAGTCCGAAGCTACGGTATTTCTTTTCCACTTTAGTCTAGTTGATCGAGCAATTGAGATTTTATATGCTAATTTTCTTTCTTCCTCAACCAGGCTCTTATTTCTAATAATCTTCAAGAGGTGATGTGATGTTTGCTCTGAAGTGATGGTAATGTCAATAGCTAATTCTGCCTAGTTGATCCGCGATGGAAAACATAGTGTCGCAGAACTCATGGAAGAAGGCAAGACCATGCTCGGGCGCAGACATGTCCTCCCGCACGTAGCCATATCTCTGAAAGAGATTCAAGTGGAGGGAACATTCCCGGATGGAACCTATCTCGTGACAATTCACTCGCCAATTTCCTCCGAAGATGGGGATCTCGAAAAGGCACTCTATGGCTCATTCTTACCAATTCCTTCTCCTATCCGAGCACACTGGCGCCCGCTCGAGCACACGG